GTGGCGGTGCTGAGGTGGTGAGACCTGTGAAATATAGGGCTGGGGGTAGCGGCCGGATTCAGGTAGGCCTCCCCTGGTTGAGTTAGTTTTCATGAGAGCGTTTTGTTTTGTTTTTGAGACAGGATCTCACTATGTAGCTCTGGCTGGCCTGGAACTTGCTGTGTAGACCAGGCTGGCCCCAAATTCAAAGAGATCTACCTGGCTTTGTGTCCTAGTCCCAAGAGTGTGGGTTTAAACGCGTATGCCGTCATGCCTGACCCACGGAGGTGGGGTTTTCAAAAAATGAGGCCATCCTATACCTTTGGCCCCTTCTGAATGTTGCAGGCTCCTTTTCTGCCTCTTCACCACGTGTTACAACTCAGCCTCTTGAGGACTCAGGTGTCAGGCCGTTTGGACTTTTCACCCATCAGAATTGTAAACAACAATAGCATCCTATATTTTTATCCATTGCCCAGAGTCATGTGTTTTGTTATAGCAACACAAAACAGACTAATAGTTCCTGAAGACCTGCATGAACAATTTAGTTTTGGGGATGTCACAAGTGTCGGTCCTACTGCTCTGCGTGCCTGGATTTTAGTCCAGCTGTGCAGGAAAATGCCACCTCACTCTGGTTCAATGAGCTTATTGGAGCTGTTTTTCTAACTGCTCGAAAGCAGAGCCAGGGACTCTGTCTCAGTTCCCTATTGAGGTTGTCACACATTACTCAAAACTTAGTGTCTTAAAACAATAAAAAAAAAAATACAGTCTTATAGTTCTGGGGGATCTTATAAAGCTAATTGGAAAGGATTGTCTGTACTGTGTTCCTTCAGGAGGCCTTTTTTCCAAAACATTTTACGTGTACACAGAGGTCAGAGGACAACTTGACTTCTCCTTCTGCCACATGGGTCCCAGGGATTAGACTCAGGTCACAAGCTTGGCAGCAAGTACCTTCAGCCACTGCTATCTTGTTGGCTCAGCCTTTGGAGGCTGCTTGTGTTCCCTGGTCATCCCGCCAACCTCAGATGGCTCAGTTCTCTACTTCCATCCCCGCGTCTTCTCTGTGCCTTCTTTGCCCCCTCTTTTAAAGATAGATGTTAGCAGACAGGACCCACCCATGTGATCCAGGATAATCCCCCTTTAAGTCTTCACCTTAATCATTGCTTTGCAGGATCCCTCTTTCTGTCTAAGGCAATGTGTTCACAGTCTTGGGACAAGAATGTGGACTTGTGCAGGGCTGGTGTTCTTCTAAATGCCTTCTAGACATTGCTGGTGCCTCACTGAGTCACACCTCAGAAGGGTCTTCTAAGACCACCTTAGGACCCTCATCCACTCTGGTCTAAGATCACATTGCCTAATTTTATTAACTCTTAAAAGAGTGGACTTATTTTCTAAACTTATTTTTAATCTCATTAATAAGTCACTTTCTGTCTTCCTCTAGTAGGCAGGTAGAGCTTAGGGGGAAGTGTGTTCAATTGATCATTCTGAATATGGTCTGTGAAAACCATCCCACATTAGAATTGTATTAAGTAATACACACTTAAAAAATTGAACCTTAGTTAAAATAAGCTTTCTTTGTATTTTCTTTGAATTTAAGTGTCTTCTTGGAACCCCACTGAGGCCTGTAAAATTAAAAAAAAAAAACAGAAGTAAAAAGGAACTGTAGGAAGAATATTGTGTAAAAATCACTGAATTGTTCTGTGCAAAATGAATGGAACTAGAGGACATTATGTTAACTGAGGTAAGCCAGACAGAAAGTCAAGTACTTTATCTTGTGTTTCTCACATATGGCAGTTTAAAATGTTAGTCTAGAGGAGGAGGAGGAATAATAATAATTATTAGAGGCTGGGAAGAGGAGTGAAAGGAGACTGTGGGAGGCTGGATAACAGGCACCAAACGCACTGGAGGGAGTCATGAGCTCCGGTTCTGCTGTGCTGGAGGGTGATGATAGTTCACAGTAAGCGTTACACAGTTTCTGAAAACGGAGAAGAGCAGAGCTCAGAGGCTCCAAACATTAAGAAATGGCAAGGAGATGGAAATGCTAATCACCCTGATAAGATTTTATAAATGTTTTGAAATATCACATTATACCTCATACAGATATACAAATATCACATGTTAATTAAAAAGGAAAAAAGAGTCAGGTGGTGGTGGTGTGTGCCTTTAATCCCAGCACTCGGGAGGCAGAGACAGGTGGATCTCTGAGTTCGAAGCCAGCCTAGTCTACAGAGTTCCAGGACAGCCAGGGTTGATACACAGAGAAACCTTGTCTTACAACACCCTCCCCCCAAAAAAACCTCCCCCAAAAAAATAAAAAGGAAAAAAGAATTAGAATTAAAAAACAGTAAACACGGGGCTGGAGAGATGGCTCAGCGGTTAAGGGCACTGACTGTTCTTCCAGAGGTCCTGAGTTCAATTCCCAGCAACCACACGGTGGCTCACAACCATCTGTAATGAGATCTGGTGCCCCTTCTGGCCTGCAAACATACATGCTGTATACATAATAAATAAATAAATCTTTAAAAAAAAAAACAGTAAACACTTTGCTAAAAATAATAGTAGCATTACCTTGGTTTGAGCCATCATCCCGATGTGGCCTGTTCACCACAGATTTATGGTGTTAGCATTTCTAATTCAGGGGAGACTGAGATAAAAGCTATCATAGTCACACAGGGACCTAGGAAGAATGGAAGAAGGAAAGGTTCATTTTAATTGAGACATCAATTCTGGTAAGTAGGGCTTTCCTGATGCTGTTCCCAAAACATGGTCTGAACTTCAGGAAACCCGGGGAGCTTTTAGGCAGAAAGAACACTGTCTATCGACATGGTATTAAGAGTGAGCAGGCCTAATGGGAAGCCTGCATTTCAGAAAGCAGGGCATTTGTAGTTGTATCATTGTTCACTTAGGCATCTAGGTGATTAATAAAACAGCCTCCAGCAGCCACTCAGGAAATACTGAGTGAGTTCCTGCTGTGGTCAGTGCCGAGTCTCTGATAACACTCTGACCTGCAGTGAGGAGAGGGAGATGGAGACTTGATGGGAGAGCAGTGTTGTGGACTGAATTGTGCTCCCTGGAAGTTCATGTGTTGGAACCCTTACCCAATGTGATTGTACATGAAGACAGGGCTTTAAAAGAGGTTATCAGGCTGGGGGTCCCTAACCCAAGAGGACTCATATTCTCAGATGGGGAAGTGCCTGAGAGTGCACACAGACTGTGTGAGGACATGGTGAGGCCACAGAGAGGCCTTGTAGAAACTGAATCTGCCTTTGTCCATGGACATCTGCCCTCCAGAACTGTGAATACGAAGATCTCTGTTGTGTAAACCACCTGTCTGTGGTCTTGTCTTAGGGCCTCTGTGGCAGGTTCTAGAAGAGCTGCTGACCCGAGTCCTGAGATTCAGATTGGGTTGTTTTCAGGAAACTGCCCAGGTCAAGAGTCTGGTTTGAAAAGCTCTCAGCAGAAGTCGTGAGTAAAAGTTATAGGTAGTGTTGTTCTTTTGAGTTAAAGAGTAGATGGAAGAAGTCAGCATGGATAAGGTGTGGGGAGGTGCTTGGGAGCCCAGAGCACTGTGCCAGGGCACTGGGGAGGCAGGTGTGGAGCGTCTTGAAATGTGGGGACTGGATGGGGGTCTTTGGTAGAGTAGAGAATGTGCGGCTTCCACTGGGTTTTCAGCAAGGGTCTTTGAAGGTCAGGGGATTGTGGTATGTGGTAGCGGTAGAGCTTAGAGTAAGGGGCACCTCCAAGGACCTGGTAAAGAAAGAGGAAGCCAGGGCTTGGTGGGCGTTGGAGTTAGCTGAGCAGAGTGAGGCAGTGAGGTTTGTCCGTGAAGAGGCTGAAGGGTATCTGAGCACTTGGTCCTCCTGGTTAGGGCAGGACTGGTGTTACAGCCACTGCTGAGCAGGAGTCTCCAGCCCACGTTCTTTCAAATACTGTTCAATGGGAAAAGCGCCAGAAGGCATTGTTATTGCTAACCAGGCCCTCTCTTTTCACCCAGTCCCGAGTGTACCGAATGTGAAGTCCAGGGCTGCTTGCGGCCCCTCTGAGGTCCCTTCCTATGATGCTGCTTCTCAGGGACCAGCAGCACTGTCAGCCTCATTTACTGCACAAGGTGGCTGAGGTGAGGATAGCTCTAAAATAATGCACATTGTTTCTCCTAATAATAGCAATTATACATGCTTACTTTAGAAATTAGGTACATATGAGAAAAAAAACCCTCAAGAATACACAAACATATAAACAGAATAAAAACCAGGGAATTCATAGTCTGTTGTTTAGAGGTAGCCACTATTGGTATTGGGGAGTGAAATGGAATAGGCTGTTTTCTTTCTTTCCAGTTTAGTCTCATGATCATTCATAATGCGAATATTAACATGATCACTGGGTCCTTTTGGAGCCCCTGCTGATTGTCCGTCAGCGGTCATAGGATGGCACAGTAAACAGTGACTGTTTTTGTCACAGAAACATTTGGGGGATGATATTCTTAGTACATACAAAGGCTTAAGTTTGTGCTTAGAAATATGTGGCAGCTTCTCTGAAATTAGGTTTCACAAATTACATCTGTCATGCTATTTTAAAATTATATATTAAAGGTTTGATAAAAAAAGGAGTTTTAATTGTAGTTTAAATGTCTTCCTTGTAAATAGATGGTATTCGCTGTATTATTTTACTCTTGAATGAAGTACAGTTTCCTTTTGGAAGGTACAAAGCTTAACTTTAAAAGAGCGGCTCGGAGACTGGGGAGCCAGTCTACTGAGGTGGAGCTGGATAGGCATTGTTCCAAGACTCGAGACAAAGCAGGACAGTAGGCCCTTTGTCCCGGCTGGATGGTGATTACCTTTGGATTGGTGGCGGCTTGGCTCCCAGGAGGGCACACAATTTTGCTTTATTCCGCTGCCATTTATCTTCCTGTGGAATTGCTCTCTTGTTTGTGATACTATGAGCCTTTCAGAGTGACTGCAAGAAATTCTCATGTATGAACGAATCACCACAGCAACTATAAATGTTTTACCTTTTTGATATTGCAGCTGACTCATGTGGACAAGGCAAGCTTCCAGGTGGATGCCTTTGGAACATCCTTCATTCTTGATGTCCGGCTAAACCAGTAAGTGCTTCCGGAGTTGTCTTCACTATAATTAAGTGATCTAGTGACTTTCAAGAAATAAATGTGCATTGGAAGTTGAACGGCTTTAATAGATAGATAACTTTTACACATATGTAATGGAAGGTAGGAGTTCTTCTGGCATTTTGTATAAGAATATTTATGATTGAGCTTCCTATAGATTATTTAAATATACTGAAGGCAGTAAAGGTTCTTTCTCTGTGTGTGTGTGTGCTTGTATGTGTACATGCTCATGTATACACCAGTTCACTGGTGTGCAGGTGGATGTGGAGGACAGAGGACAGCTTCGGATCTGTCCTCCTTAAATAAAACAAAATATGTATTTGGTGTGTGTGTGTGCACATGTGTGCACTCACTCCCAGGTGCCTGCTGTGATGCTCTTGTGGAGGTCAGAGGACAAGTGGAAGTTGGTTCTCACCATGTGGGTCGCAGCCATCGAAATCAGAGCCTCAGGCTTGGTGGCAGGCACTTTTGCCTGCTGGACCGAGGAGCCATCTTATCGACCTTTTTGTTACTTTAGAGAGACAGAGGCCAGGCGGTGGTGGTGCATGCTTTTAATCCCAGCACTTGGGAGGCAGAGGTAGGCAGGGCTCAGCAAGTTAGACGCTAGCCTGGTCTATAAACCATGTTCCAGGACAGCCAGGACTGTTACACAGAGAAATCCTGTCTCGCGAGAGCGAGAGCGAGCGAGCGAGAGAGAGAGCGAGAGAGAGAGCGAGAGAGAGAGCGAGAGAGAGAGAGAGAGAGAGACCAAACAAACCCTGCCTTGAAAAAAAAAAGAAATAAAGAGTGTGAGAGAGAGACAAAGTCTCTTCATCAAAGGGGTATTTACTCACGTACATTTTGCCCAACTTGCTCATGTTCTTTGAAGAATTCTGGTACAAAAACTTGCATTTTCTGAGGAAGATACACATATGACCGCAATACTGAGAGAAAAGTAGATTTTTTTTTGTGATATTAACCTGAAAATATTAGACATTTTTCTTCTTGGCCTGGGATCTATACTAAATGTAGGTGGCAGGTAGCTATTTTCTTTAAAAATTGTTCTTTATTCTTGAATTTCATACATGTGTACAATGAAACATGATCATATTTACCTTATTTTCCCACTCCTACAACATCTGTATTCCTCATAGTCCCTCAACACATCCTTTTCCTGACTTCACACCTATCTCCCTCTTAAATTACCCACTAAATCCAGTTAAGACTGTCCATATATGCATGGCTGTCCACTGGAACACAGGAACCCTACCAGTGGCCACATCTCCGAAAAGATTGTCCCTGCCTCAGCAACTACTAACTACCAATAACTGCTTAATAATCCCCTGTGGTACCTACACTGGGATTTTGGCTGGCTTGATCTTTTGTAAGACTTATGTGGGTAGCTGCAGCTGCTGTGAGTCTGTGAGTCCAATAGCTCTGCTACGTCTGCATCTTAGTCACTGTTCTGTTGCTGGGAAGAGACACTATGACCAAGGCAACTCTTAGAAAGGAAACATTTGACTGAGGCTTGCTCACAGTTTCAGAGGTTATTCCATTATCATCATGGTGAGGAGCATGGCAGTAGGCAAGCATACTTGATGCTGGAGAAGTAGCCGAGAGTTCTCTACCCTAATCTGCAGGCGGCAGGGCCCAGAGAAGTGCCTGGTCTGGTGGGAGCTTTTTGAAACCTCCAAGCCACATTTCACACAAATGTGTGACCTCCAGTGACACATTTCCTTCAGCAAGGCCACACCTCCTAATCCTTCTAATCCCTCTCACATAGGGCCACTTCCTGGTGACTAAGCATTCTAATATCTGAGCCTAATATATGGAGGCCACTCTTATTCAAACCGCCACAGTCTAGAAGACAGCATTCATAGCGCCCCTCCCCAGCTTCCAACTCTTACGTTCTTCCTACCTCATCTTCCAAGATGCTCCCTGAGTGTATGTTTATGTAGGGGTGGGGGTGGTAATGTAGCTATCCAGTTAGGATTGATACCAGTCCCTTATTCTCAGCACTTTACCAGGCATGCATCTTCCCATTGACGGTTGCCCACTAAAAAAGAAGCTTCTGTGACTGAAATTAAGAGCAGCCAGGATCTGTGGGTACAAACACATAAACATAAATATTTAGAAAGTACTTTAACAGTGTAGCCATTTAGCGAAATAGCAGTAGAGGGTTCTTTTCAGGGCCAGTTGCCTCCCAGCCATGGGCTTTTGTCCAGGATCACAGTACCAGCAAAGAAACGTCACCTTGTGGAGCAGACCTGAAATCCAGTCAGGAAGTTATTACTTACCCCATAACAGCTGTGTCGCTCACTATTGGGCCACTGGGCACATCATGCCTGGCAGGTTGGTCTTGCAGCACGCTGAGTCCAGCTCCGAGTAAGGCCGTGGATGTATTTTCTCCCCACCAGCCTGTGTAACATCTTCCCACATTATGAAAGCTGGCCATCTGGGAGGAACTTCCTTGATCATGTTTTGGTTGGTTTCTCTATGTCTGACAGCCACGTGTGTGTGTTGTTTTCATCAATAGGGTCTTACCATCCCGTAAATCCTCATGCGTGGTGAGGATAAGAGCATAATTAAATGATAATCACCAAGGGCAGTGACAATAGTCTGGCTGTTTTTCAGACCTCTGGGGCATCCCTGACCAGTAACTTGTAGGGAGGCGTCCCGTGCCTTGAACTGCAACTTTTATTTAATAATCCATGCAGTCTGTGAGCCAACTGTCCATCCCGTCAGGGTGTTCCATTTGAACTCTTTCTAAAAAAAAAAAAATCTTGCGTTTTGAAACTAGCTTACTAACGAGTAGGTTTCCATAGGCTTTTTCATATATCCTTAGGTTTGCCACACCCACGCCACGCTGCTCTTCTCCCTGTGCCCTGTCCTCAGCCCCACTGAATTCGTTGGCTCCTGGGATTATCCATCCACCAGTCGCTTCTCATTTCCCAGACGTTCTTCTGTCGCTCCAATCATTACCCTTTAGCTGGTTGTGAAACAGTGGACGTCTCTATGGTTTTTGATCCACCCTCCTTTGCGTTAACCCTCGCTCCATTCGTGATCTTCCCTCTACTCCCACTCCCTCTTTTCCTGCCGAGTATACCACTTCCCTGGTTTAGTTTTACCTCTAATCTCCCATCTCCTGGCTTGTAAGCACCCTCCCAAAGGCCTCTCCCTAGCTTCCTGGCTTTCACTTGTACTCCAAGTTAAGACATAAAAGAGAAGATTTGAAGGTAGGATCGCCATATGAGAGAAAACAGTATTTATCTTTCTGGGCCTGATCTACCTTTTTCAGTATATTTTTTTCTGGTTCCATGTTTTTATGCAAATTTTATGACTTAATTTTTCTTTACAACCTAGTAATATTTCATTGTATATATGTGCCATATTATTTCTTATCCATTCATCTCTTGGTAGATGTATAGGTTGATTTCATCCTCTAGCTATTGTGAATAGGATAATGGACACAAATGTGCAAGTGTGTCTGTAGTAGGGTATAAAGTTTGTTAGTAGCTATATTCTTTATGCTGTGAAAGCCACAATAATGTGATCTAGCTTTTTTTCTGTCTCATTTTTCTATAGGTTTTTTCTTTTGCAATTTCATGGTTTTGGTTTGATTCACCTTTATGGCTGTATTGGTTTAGGAAGAAGGAAGATGGAAATCGAATACTCTCTTAAAAAGCTTTGGGTTGCTCTCTCATGAAGCAATTCTAGGGCTGTGGAACAAGCCAAAAAAAATTTTTTTAAACTAGAGGAAAATTAAATCTGTGTGTAGCTGGATATCAGTTGCAGAATAGATCCAATAATACTTATTTTTAGATTGGAATTGAAGGAAAAGAATCATTACATAACATTCCTTCAAAATATCAGTAAACCAGATTATCTCTAACCAGATTATACAAGAGTTCATTCACCCTTTGGGTTGTTTGTCTGTGGAAGGGGTTTAAAAACACAGACAGGCTAAAGCCAGAAGCACAGCCAGTTCCTGCTTTGTCAGTTATAAAGGGTTGAAGCAGCTTCCTTCATGGGTCACGGCTGTGAAATTTCACTCTTTAGGACAGATACATTAATAACACCAAACATATGGCTTGCTCTGCTTGGATTGGTCCTGAGGCTACACAGGACCTTCCAAAGGTCAGCAGAGGTGTTGTATTTTACAGTGAAACATTCCTTAGAAAGAAGAGGGCTTAGAAGACATCAGACCATATTATCTGAGCTATCCAGGCCAAGTCTTTTCCTGTAAATTACTCTGTTATCCAGTGAGCGAATAATTAATGCCTCAGAGCAACACAAGAATAGTGGGAAAGTTCTCTCGTCAGCTCCCTAAGCGTTTTATGACGGGTCACCTGTCAAAAGCACCCCTCCATCAACAGACCACAGAGAAGCAAACGCTCCACAAGCAGGGTGATGGGGTCTATTGGGATGGGAGACATGCAAGATCTTTCTGAAATCTTTGTTTTTAGAAAGGATTCTTCTGTATGGCTGTCAGACCTGGGATGACCCAACTCCAAAATGTAGAGTGTTTTTTTTTTTTTTAATTCCTTTATCATGGATCATCCTGCTCTTCTTATTTCAATAACATCAAAATACTTTTTCTCTTACTCTGTGACTCTTATTCCAATCTTTTTATTACCTGTTTCACAGTGGAGGAATTTCAATGTCTTTTAAAAGTGATTTGCAGCCCCTGGGCACAGTAAGAGACACTTGTAATACCTGCACTCAGGAGGTTTAGGCAGGAGGATCACAAGTCAGAGGACAGCCAAGACTACAGAGCCAGTTCTGGGACAGCCTGAGGTAACACTGTCTCAAAAAGAAAAAAAAAGCTTGATTAACAATGACTGTTGTATTACTCTTTAGTTACTTTAAAAATCATTGACTAGTACATTTGAAATGAGTGAATTTTATGAAAATATACCTTAAGATAATCATTACACTTATACAAAGACACTTCTATTACTTTAAGTGGTGTTAGGATAAGCCAAGCCGTGGTGAATAAT